GGTGCGTCATTGCTTTACAATGTAAGTCGTTACTTTGCGATGTGCTTCATTGCAACATACGTTATTACTCTATAAGGTCCACTGATGGTGATAAGCAGGGGGGCTGATAGTGGTCGACGACTGGCGGTGGTCGGCAACAAAAAATGCATAAAGTGATCGTTGAGTCTTCAGTCATAACAACTCTGAAAATTAGCTCCTTCTCCTCCACTAGGTTCGCATCTTGGTCTCAATTATGGTCCCCTTTTCATGAGAGAAGTGAGACTCTATTTATAATTTTTATGAGTGGCATCCTCCATAAATACTACATAAATCTGAATCACTCCATCAAACAACCTAAAGTGATTTCCTTGATCTGATTATGTTTTATGTATATTTAAATACTTTAATGTCATCAAGATTAAGTGTACTTAGGCTCATTGGATTTGTCTTATCGAAACCTTAATTTGATTATAAGCCTGTCAAATTTGTAATTCATTTGACCCTTCATTTGTCCATCTAAAACCTCTAGTTGTGTTTAAACGCTTGATCTGGGATTGATCAGGCTCAGATCAAACCAATTTTGGCTTCATTGGGCTCACGTTGTCCAAACAACCAGCTTGACTATAAGTTCGCTGAAATTGGAGTTCTTGATGATTTTTAATTCAAATCAGCACATTTCTTGTTAAAAAATACATCAAGATTGGAGGTTTGATGCTCGATTAGCTTTTTCTGTGACTTTTATAAATATAATTTCATGTGCTATGTTGCATAGTTGAAGCTTGTGTGATAGATAAGTTAGCAACATCTTTTCCTATTCTAATCAATCAGTAGAAGCAATATAATGAAATATATATGAGCATTGTTCAATTGTGCCAAAAAAAAAAAAATCCTTTGGCTACATAAACACTAGTTTTCAATTTCTCTAGAAATTTTATTAATTGAATTGCTTGCTCTTGCCTCCTCCTCAGTGCATAGTAACATTTTGGTGGGGGAAAAATATTGAGCGCTATTTTTTCATTATTTTTCTTAGATTTTATAAATAAAATTGCATATGTTTTGCTGCACAGTTGAAGCTTGCATGATAGATAAGTTAGTAACATATTTTCCTATTCTGATCAATCATTAGAAGCAATGGAATAAAATATTTATGAGTATTGTTCATATGTGCAAGCATTATTTCTTTTGATTATTTTTTTCCTTTCCTACAGAAGCACTGATTTTTCAATTTTTTTTGAAAAAATTTTGTTGGTCGAATTGCTTGCTTTTGTGCCCTCATCAGTGTACGATAACATTTTGGGAGAAATGTTAAACGGTGTTTTTTTTTTAGTTTTGTTGAGACTTTTAGAAATGAAATTGTATATGGTTTAATGCAAAGTTATATTTTGTAAGAAAGATAAGTTAGCAACATCTATACTAATCCTCATCAAGTAGTATAAGATATGGAATGAAAAATATATGAACATTGTTAATCATTTTTTTTTCAAAATTTATTTTTTTTTAATTTTATTTTCATGGCTATATGAGCACTACTTTTGTTTATTTGAAAACTTGTGTTATATATTTGAACATAAATCTGAATATATTTTATTTTCATGAAATATATTTGAACATAAATCTGAATCACTCCATCAAACGACCTAAAGTGATATACTTGATCCGATTATTTTTATGTACATTTAAATACTTTAACGTCATCAATATTAAGTGAACTTAGGCTCATTGGAGTTGTCTTATCGAAACCTTAATTTGATTATAAGCCTGTCAAATTTGTAATTCATTTGACCCTTCATTTGTCCATCTAAAACCTCTAGTTGTGTTTAAACGCTTGATCTGGGATTGATCAGGCTCAGATCAAGCCAATTTTGGCTTCATTGGGCTCACGTTGTCCAAACAGCCAGCTTGACAAATGAGATTGGCGCTCTGGGCTCAATTGGTGATGTACGAGTGATGTTGGTAAAAAAACACTGGGCTTGTATTGTGTTCATTGGGCTCACGTTCTTATGAAATGTTTGGCATAGTGATGTTGGAAAAAAATAGAGCAAAGGCTCAACCGATTACCAATTATGAATATGAAAAAAACGGTCATACTAATTTGACATGGATACTACCCGGTCCTTATACCTAAAGGGCACAATTAGTGATCCTGGATGGAGCTATTTTTTATATCTATGAATTGATTCTGAGCTCTACATTTACTTCTTATTTGTCATGTTTTTGTTTTAGGTTCAGGTATTGTTGCTTTACATGTCAAATTATGTTGATACATTTCTTTTATTTTTACTTATATATCAGATGGGTAAACAAAAAGAAGTGGGATATCTGCTATTTGGGATAAAGAGATGAAAATAATTTTTTGTGATTTATGTTTAAGAGAGGTTGAAATGGGCAATAGATCGACCACACATTTCAATAAGGAGGGTTTACAAATTATATGAAACTCTTCAAGAAAACAACGGATAGAATGTACGATAAAACTCTACTTAAAAAACAAATGAGATCAACTTAAAAAGGACAGGAGTTGTGGAATGAGCTAAAGAGATGGGTCATTGGTTTAGGATGAGTACTTATTATAAAAACAATTGATACACCCGAGGAGTGGTGGCATGAGAAGATTTTAGTAAGTAGAATATCTTACATTCAATATTGCTTAGTTTAAAATTCTTTTCTTGAAAATTAAGATTGTTAATTGTAGGTTTTACTAAATGCAAAAAAATTTAAGCTTGCTTGCATTGACCCGGAGCTAGAGGAGAAGCTAGATACTATATTCCTAGGTGTTGTAGTCATAGGGGTCAACATTTGTGCTACAACAGAAGAGTCAACCTTCAATTTTGAAGAGTCTGAATGTGCTCTTTACCAAACAGATCTACGAGGAACAACTAGATAAAATAGACCACAGGGAGTCTAGACACTCAAAGCGACCTGCACCCTCAACACAAAAAGGTAAAAAAGAAAACTAAAGTTGGAGAAACTCATTTATCCCATCACATATCGCAGTTGGTGACAAACAACACCAATATTACTTCAAGTGTCTGCACTGCTCTCCATGCATACCCAACAATGACAGATGTTATCAAGCTACTTGACTCAACTCTAAAAATTTTTGATGACATGCTCGTCAACTTATTTGTCGTAAAACTTCTGAAGGATCGAAACAAGTGAGAGGCTTTCTTCATGCTGCTCCATGAACAGATGATTCCTTACCTCTGTTATTTTTTAGGGAGTTAGACTAGTTATATGATATGCAAATTTTTTTTTTGTTACTTGTTGCTACTATAACAGAGTAACTATTTATAGTATTTGATATTTCTATTGTAAACTATGGCTTGTGTGTATTATTTATGATGTTTTTATTATTCGTAGATTTCCGTAGTTAAACTACTTTCATTGCGCACAAGTTAAGCATTTATCTGCATTGAAAATAACATGTTCTTTTGAAATAAACATAACATTATTCTTTCACATAAATGTAGCTACCAAATAAAGATGAGATTATAGAGATAATTGAGCAAGTGACAGTCATTACCAACACAGTTTGTCTGATTCATGAATACAATCGAAGAAATATTTGTAAGACACATTGTGTTTCATCGTCATCTGCGGGTGATAAATGGGTTGGCAAACTAATGGAAGCTCATAAGTCAGATTCACAACATGTTCTAGATGTCAAAAGCTATTTTTGTGATTTATTAGATAAATTGTGATGCAGATGCGATTTGTATGGATCTTCACGATTTACATCCCCAGAAGTCCTTGCTATTACGCTCTTCATTATGTCGCATAATGACTTCATTTGTGTTGCTTCTGAGCGTTTCCAACACTCTACAGAGACTATCAACAGATATTTTCACATCGGGGTTCTCTTTAGTTAAAATGACTACGAACATCATCAAACCACTAGACTCATCTTTTGCTCAAACACCTCGAGATATCAGTAGTGATTCGGTATACACGTCGTTTTTGAAGGTATTGATCTTACTCTCTTTTTGCACTTCAACAAATTAAATAAAATTCATAAATAACCTATATTATGTCAATTTTTTTTATAATAAGGATTGTATCTGAGCATTTGATGTAATGCATGTTGACGCATGCGTGGGGAATGAAGAAAAGATAGCCTATATCGGTAGGTGTGGAGCTGCTACACATAATATATTAATAGTATGTGATTTCAACTTATGATTTACATTTGTGATAGTCGGTTTAAAAGATTGGTGCATTTAACTAATTCATCACTATTATATTTTCATTAGAACTAATCCACTAATGTTGTCATTATTCAAGAATGTATTCTTGTCAATTCAAGATATCTACTGTAACGAGATTTTATTATGCCAACTCCTGACACGAGATATCACCTCCCTGACTTTGAGTGTAACGACCAAGTGATTTAAAAACATGCATGTAAGAAAAACAATTTGATTATGCTTTCCAATTTTATCTCTTGCCTATATCCATCCGAAACTTGCTATTTACAAATCAACCACCTTTTACCATCCATTTTTTACATTCTCACTCACATATCAAATAAAATTCCAACATCTATAAAATTTTATCAAATTCTCAATGATTTGACTGTGACATCCGTAAGTGCATTGATTCGATAGTTCAAAAAAAAATCAATTTGATGGTTAATTTATAAATATCAATGTTTGGGATGATCTGTGTGTAATAATCTCATTTTTTTTTTCCTTTTATTTTATTCACAAATGGCATTTATCTCTTTTTTTTTCACATATTTATTTAATTTTAACCATACATCAATAGAAAAAGGCCGTTTCATGAGTTCATATTTATTTATTCTAAGAATCTGTTTGGGGTAGCTGCAACTTATTGAATAATCTGCTGATAAGCTAGGTGTGGTGGCTAATACAAATTTTTATTTTTTTGAAAAAGACAGACCACTACCAAAAAATTGTCACCACACCTTATTTTCAGCATTTTAAAAATATATTAATTGTCAAAAGTAGTTTAACCAGACAAACTAGGGGAGTTTTCACCAAATCATATAAGCTGCCCAAACGGACCGTAAATCACCGAAACCCTAGCCATTTATTTCAGCGGCTTAGTGGAGGCGGAGTTGACCGGCCAAGAGACGACGCTCTCAGGAACTTATTCACAGAAGGTAGCAGCTTTCTTCTTCTTCTCTGTTATAGTGTTGACGACGTATACTTTCATGATATATGCCGAAATTGCAGGGTTAAACTGTGAGTTAATAGATGGCGTTCGCTGCAATGAAACCCACCAAACCAGGGCTTGAGGAGTCGATGGAGCAGGAACATCGCATCCGGATTACTCTTTCTTCTAAGAACGTGAAGAATCTTGAGAAGGGTATGCTTCATCTATCGATCCATCGCCATTTTTTTTCCTTTTTTCTTTGTTCGATGCTTGAATTTTTGCAATTGGTTTGCTCTTCTGGATAGTGTGTGCTGATTTGGTGAGGGGAGCGAAAGATAAGAGGCTTAAGGTTAAAGGACCTGTGAGGATGCCGACTAAGGTACTGCACATCACTACCAGGAAGTCTCCATGCGGTGAAGGTAAACTCTTTTTTTATGACAAAATTGCGCTATTTCACAGCAGCCTTGTTAATGTACGAATTTTGCTACTTAGAAAACCTATTAAAGGAAAAGATTTAAGGGGTGCGACTCAGTTGAATTTCCATTATATGATAGATGATTGCAACAATTTGTCTTTCTTTAAAAATTGAGAAGTTGTTATTAAAATGTTTGAATTCTCGGCTCCCATGAATTTGTTGAACAAGTTTGGAGTGGTTTGAGATGATAGGCATCAATGTTGGTTGGTAAATGCAGATGTTGGTTGGCGAAGACTGATAGTGGTCAAGAATCGATAGTTAAGCATTGATATTTAAGAAATGCAATCAACTTATGAATGTTGGACAATGAAAATTAAGTGATGATGATCGGGTGATAGTGATCAGAAGAATCATGGTGGTTGGAAGATAACAACCAGACAATTGTTGTTGTTGACAACGATTCTTAGCTTCGATCATTGGGAATAACTTGAAATTTTTTAGATTTTAAGGTTCTTTAATTTTAGGATATTTTCTCCTGAAAAATGAGAGTATTTATAATATTTGAAAATGATATTTTGATAATTTTAGCTAAAATATCCTAACTCTCTATTCGACAACCATATTAATTTTTTATTCATAAATTAATTTTCTATCATTTGAGCGCTTTAATGATATTGGAATTAAGCGGCATTTAAGTTTGCTAAAATTAGAGTTTAGATTATTATAAAATTGATCATGAAAACTTTTGATTTATGTACTTGTATCAAGAATTGTGCTAAAATCAATAATTTTCTGATGAAATATTAGATTCTTGAACATAAAAATAGGCCACTCTAAGATAATGTCTTAATAAATTTGTTATGGATGATCACAATTTTTGGTAAATTTATGACTAATCACTTAACCTTTTTCCTTGGTTGTGAATTAAATAAATTCTTCTTAATTATAGTTTTATTTATTTTTTAAGTTAAAACTCAATCAGAGCAAAATTATCAATAAATTTTGTTTTGAAATCTACAAAGTTGATCAAAGTTGCTCAAGATTCAATGTGGAACAGAAAAAAGTGCTCTAGATGTTAGCCCCTATGGTCGTATGACTTCCCATTGAAGTTTGATGTTAATAAATATTTGTTTGATTGTAATTAGTATTTTGTTTCAGTGTTTTATATATACAATAAATTCAAACAGATCAGGGCAAAATCAAGCTTGAGAATACATATTAGGTTAGTCTATTCTAGAATTCGCATAGGGTATCTCCCATATATTAGATTTAAAAATGATTAAGCTCAAATAAATTATTAATCTTTTTTTTATTTTTATATTTCAGTTACAAGTATTCTTCTTACCATATATATAATTTTTTTGATCTATTTTTATGCAACATGCTAGTTGGGATGTTTTGTTTTAGTATTTCATATGCTCAATTTTTTTTAACTAATGTGATACTTTTATCTCAAAGATTAATATGAAATAGTTTCATAAAATGCTTTATCATTTCGTGAATCTTTCATGCAAAATTATTTGATTAATGTTCAATTATAATGTATGTGCAGTAATTTATTTTTTATATGATTGGATAATCCATCATGCTTCATTAATTATTTCCAAAATAATTATCCATAAGTATTATTTCATTCAAACACACATCTTAAATTATGAGATACCCTATGGTAGTTTTAGGACAAATTAACCTAATATATATTTTCAAACTCGATTCTTACCTGATTTGCACGAATTTATCATGTTTCTGAAATAGTTAAATAACATGTCAGTACATCAATAATATATTATCATTAAAATTCAATGACAAGTCATTGAATTCATGGGTTAAACAATCTCCCATCTTTTTAATGATGACATTTTTATTGACAATAGATGTGGATTGCAAGGTAACCTTGCTTCACTCATTTTAATTATATTTATTTTTAATTTATTGTAATCATAAATAAAATACATATCTATTGGTGTCATTTTAATATATGAGTGAACATAAATAAAATAGACAAAAATGCAATTATGCGATTATGTTCCTCATAAATGTATGCATATAAAAAGAATGCATAAATCATCATATATACTCCTCCCTTTTTGGGTAACATAAAAAAGAGATAAAAAAATTTATTAAAAGCGAGTGAATACTGATTTCAAAGAGAAGAATTTAGCACGTTTAGCTTATGGCCTAATGTACAAAACTTTCTTCATTTAATGATTTTATATAAAATATCAACAATTTCTAAATATGTAAAAATGAATTCACTGTCAATATCACCCTTACAAACTTGATTTCTCGTTAAACAAGTCTAAGATCAATAAAATTTACTTGAATAAATGTTTTTTTAAATCATCTTATTCAACTCCCTTATTAGGTGCCATATTCATTTCTCACTTGAGACCCCAAAAATGTCCAAATAGATTTGTTCTTGTTTGTGCAAGTGTGCTGCGTTGAGTCCCTGAATTAGCAGTCTGTTGGTGTGTATATTTGCGAATGCGCCTAATACATGTGTTTTGGTACGTGATTTTATTTTCAAATTTCAAAGATTAAAATAAACTTATAGAAAGAAAAAACTACAATTTTTTATTAAAACTCCCAAATATAATGAAAAGTAGGGGAAAAATGTAACTCCTCATCCACTCTAACTATGAAAATCCCTCTATGTAAAGGAAAACACACAATTTTCCTTCACATGTTTTGGTTTTTCCCCATAACATGGTCCTATATTGTTTTGTGTGGGCATCATTGGACATTCGTTCGTCGCAGGCTTTTGTTTGCCTTTGTAAAGAGGGTTGATGTTGCCTTGTATAGGTAGAACTATAGTTGATAGCAAAACTAGTTGGGAAAACACAAAGCAAGCTTTCATTAATATTAAAATAGGGTTACACCATGACTCGAACGGAAATAATGACACAAGAAATGGAACGGCACAAGAAAACACCTCTAAACGTATTCCAATGGGTGGTGGAGTCTGGTTAGAGAGATAGAGATGATTGGGAGGAATGACGACAGTCACGGGAGGCGGGTGGCAGCGAAAGGATGGTGCGGAACTATAGGGAAGGCAGGTGTGAAAGGGTTGTAGGTGGCCGGCAACGGTAGTGGGGTTGTTGGGATGAGCTTGAAAGGAGTTAGGAACGCGGAGTAATAATTTGTGAGAAGGTGAATGGTTGGTCGTCGGGGTGACGGAGGGAGAGTTTGACGGTTGAAGATTGGGGAGGAGAAGGTTTGGGGAAGGTAAAATGGAGGATATAATCACCACTTTAGAAAAGATACAATCGAAACACTACCACTTCCTCGGATACAGCCCATAACGGGGAAAGAGACTCCACACAGTAGATTTGAAACAGAACACAGTAATAACTGACTCCCCACATACCTAGGACAACAATTTATAGGCTCCGCTGCTCGGAGGAAGCTTCTACGCAAAGGAAGAGAGTGGGAAGCCCAGAGAAATCTAGAGAGCACTCCCTAGATTCGTGATGCCCCAAGCCGGATCTTGATATTTCGCGATCCCCGCTGCAATCCTTCTGGCCTTCATGCTAGATCTCCCGCAATCGCGAAACGCCTGGTTACCGGCACTGTTTTAGCGCCTGTATCAGTAGTTTTTTTTTCGCATACTTAATTTTTCTTCTATAAAGAGACCAGATACTATCCTGTACGGGTGAAGTTATAATTGACGGTTAATGTCATAAACTCTTTAGGGGAGCTCCAATCATCTTCTTGAGAAGCTGATAGCTGGCTTCTTTTGGAAGAATTTTGTCTAATGTAAAATGATTTTTAATCTTATTTTGAGCCTCTTATTTTCCTTACAGAAAAAACCGATTATACCCAACATTTAGTTTCAACTACGAGTCATTGGAGAGTAATTCAACCATCTACTCTACACGGCGATACATACATGATAATGAAGGGAGTTTTTCCAAAATAATAGAAGTAATTTGTATGATACCTTTTTTTCTTTTTTCAAAATTTGAGTTATTTTTGTATTCACTCTCCTTGATGTTTTGTTGTAAAATGATGTTTTAATTTTTAAGAGAATTTCACTTTTAGTTGTCCTAATGCTAAAATTTTAATCTTCCTGATAAGAATAAGTTTTGCGATCAATCAGTTTTACTTAAAATTTCAAACTTGATCACATAGATAATATCTTTTGCTGTCACCATGAATTTTTCCATGTCTAATATTATCATTTGGTAGTGCAACCATATTCATGAGCAACCATTTTTTTTAGAGTTTTTTTTTTTATTTCGTTATAATTTAGTCAAAATTTTCTAAAATCTTTTGGCGATGCTCTGCTTGATGTGTTGTGCATTCACACAAACTTTAATTTTTTTTTATTTAATATTTTTGTTTTTTTGAAGATTTGAATGATTTTTGGACAGTAACTTTTGCACTATGTTGTTGCGTTGGAAAACTCCCTTAAAAATCAATGCATGTAAATTATAAAAAGTTGACTATGATTTTGTTGTTGGCGGACAATGAGATTATTGCACAAAATCTAATGCATTTGACCACTGTCTCATTGTGGCATTTCCTCGTCAACAAATGGAGTGATTTGCCACCTTAGATGAATTAATGACACGGTTATAAAGTTATTCGTGAGATGTGTCAATAAAGTCTTAAAATTTGAGTTTTTTTAAAGAATATCTAGTAGATGACTACATTCAACTAGTGGGAAGATAACTAATATGTTGAAATTAAGACATCAAAATTTGAATGAAGTTGAACGGTCCAACTTCATTGAAATTTTATTCTCCATAACAATCTCAGAGTTCAAATTGAACTGAGTTTTTTATGGACATCAGTGCTTTCTTAGTAACATGGAACGAATATTAAATATGAATACTTTTAAGCAATATATAAGGAAAGTTCTTCATGTTTTGTGATAATATTTATGAAGCAAGTCAGGATAAAATGATTACGATTAGCAATCTATCTGCGACTCATCTAACTCGAGCATTGGGGTTGAGTCAGGTACCAACACATGGGATCGTTTCGAGCTTCGGGTGCACAAGCGGCTCATAGATCTCGTTAGCTCTTCTGATGTGGTGAAGCAGATTACGTCAATTACCATTGAACCCGGAGTTGAGGTTGAGGTGACCATTGCTGATCCGTGAGTATATATATATGCTTTGGGACTTTATATTTTTCATGAAAATTTTCTTCTTTTGACAATTTTCTTCATCCCAATTGTTGTTCCCGTTAATATGGTTGGTACTTGCGTGCTGCAATTTTGATTATTTTGTTTGACCATCGTCTTATGGAAAAGAAAAATAGCCCAGCAATGTTTTGTTTTTTAATGTCCTTTTTGTGAAATTGTTGGAGTTATCAATTATCATCAAGAGATAAATCAAATGTTGTGAAATTCATCTGGGAACTAGCTCTTAATTTCACTTGCCATCTGTGTAGGCTAAGGCTGAATTAGTAGTTTGAATGTAAACTTTTAAACAGAAGTTTTAAATGTGCAACTAAATATAGTTGTTTTCTACATATTTCTTTATTCATCATTTCGTTTTGTAAAGGTTCAAATGCTTGCAAAATCATAATATATTGGACTTGGAATGCAATTTGGTAATCATTCTGTCAGTTATTATGTGACCGGGGCAGAATGCTGATTAGTTTGTTAGTATGTGAGTTGCTGTTTGAATTCGATCTTGTATTACGGCTAATATATATTATGACTTGAAAAGAGTTAATCAGGTTCAAAGAATGGAAGGAAGGTTTTGTTATGAAACAGTTGAGTGATGATCTGGTTTATTATTATATAGTTAATTGAATCATGGTATATATAAGATATTTTAAAAGTTTTTGATTGGATGTTAAATATATTTAAGAAATATTTTCCTATTTAGCTTTATGTGAAATGAAATCATCATAAAACCTAATGATAGGCAATGGTTGGTGGTAGTGGTCGTGGTTGATGGGTGTTGGAGGTCGGCAAAATACGTGTAAGTAATATAAGGTTTTAAAGGAGTGTCGTGCATCATTCCCACGTGATTTGAAAATGTCAAAGATATAGTTTATTAATTTTTTCAACCTAGTTCGGCAAGATGAGTAAATAGTTAAAAAAAAATCCTAAATTTAGTAAATTATGAAGGAATAAAACAAAAGAAAATGTGGATTAAAGTTCTTTGGTGTTTTTTCAAGATAGATGAGGACTGTGCCTCAATTATTTAGGTGTGACATTTGACTTTATTTTTATACAAATTTCTCTTGCATAGTTGTCAACTAGAGATAATAATTTCTTCTTAAGCCTATGCCTAAGACCTAAGAAGATTTGGAATTCAACAAAGATAGCTTCAGCCTATCTTTATGGTATCCCCAATAATTTATGATCCCTTTAATTAGTTCAAGATTTGCAATAAAATATATTTATTTTATGCGGATCATGTGGTTAACCTAATTGTTCCACTATGCTCATGTTGAAATTGTAGATTACGTTGTATTTTAACATTCTAACTGACCCGATTAGAAGTAATTGAAAGCCAAAAGGTTAACCAATTTCTATCAACTTAAAGCACATAAAACAATACGAGAAATCAGGAATAGAAATCAAACCAAGAAATCCATCCCTAAAATCACAGAAGCACGAAAAGTAAATTAGCTGCTCATAGCTTGAGCGAAAAACAAAGCAAATTTCATGGAAATCAAATATGCAATGAACATTTTTATGCGAATAAAAACAAACTTATAGCCCTTTGTGATCCTCTCTTACAATAGCAACAAAAATACTTCTCTCAAATCCTCTAAAAACAAAACAAAGAAAAAAAATAAGTGGTGAAGATCTCTCTCTAACTCTAGCCTCCCTCTCAATTCTCTCCTCCGAAAGCCCTCAAAATCTCCCAATTACATAATTTTATAGCTTGCATTCAAAATACTTCTTAAATTTATCAGAATCTTGCAATAAAAATTTTTCAAATTAGAAATTATATGACGGCGTGACCACACCCAACCTACGACGTAATTACATCGCCTCCTTAGGTTGGGTGGCGTGGTCACAACACGTTTCAATGTGGTCACGCCGCGTTGTGGCGTGATTACGTCGAGGGGCTCCATGACGCGGTCTGCTTAACATATGGATGCGACCACGCTACTCAAGTGGCATGGTCACACCAGTTTCAGTCGTGGCTACGCCAATGCTAAATTTTTCAAATTTTTCTATTTCGCTCAGATTTTTGTGCTAGTCCTCCTGCAAACTATAAAATGTAATTTCAACCTTCCAAAAGCTTAAAATGATATATTTAAGGAAAAATGCTAGAATTAACGTATAAAAAGTATGAAAATTTGGCGCATGTTAGCTTCAGAGCATATCTTAGCAAGCAATGTGGGTTATTGCATCAATATCAACACGTATATGATTGTGTTAAGGATCCAAGAACTCTAAAATGTGTCATCTTGCATGTTGCAGACTTGCATTTAACTGTGCTACTTTAAAATAAGAAAATATATTTTTCATATTAGCTTTATCCACAGTACTTTTAAAAACTACATCACTAGCGAGCTAGACTATATATGAGGTCAAATCTTTTAAAATGTCATCTCATGGGTGATGCGCATTAGATCTCTTGGATCTTCAAGATGGGGTTGATGTCGGCAAACCCCATCAAAATCATATAGCAAACTTAGACACTTTCCGTACACACTTAGATGTTATGTTAGGACACATTTACTTTAAATGCTTGCTGAAATAGGCTGTGGTGGTGAGCTGAAATAAAATAAGTGGGACACAAAAGCCAGAGTTTAGAGCTGCATGAGTTATGAACCACGTAGAATGTAATTGATCACACAGGTTGTAGTGGTTAGTTGTGTATCGTCAGTTGGCCACAGAAGTCGTAACGAATAATTAACGACAACTGTCATCCACGAAGGCCGTAATAGAAAGTTTCACTAATGTTTGTAGGCTATAAAGGCTGAAGTTGGGAGATACATGAGTTGTGATCCATATAGGTTATAGTCAGTCATATAGACCTTAACGGAGAGTTGCAATATTATCGGTTGGTCTCAATGGCTGTCATGGAGGACGAGTGTCAGTCGGCCACCAAGGTTAGAACGAAGGGCTATAATGACAACAATTGTTACATTGGATTCAAGGTGCATGGTTAAATCATATTTGGGGCATGTTGTTACACTATATGCGAGGCATCACACTACACCGTAGTAGGCTTTGTTACTCCATGAGGTATGTCGTTACTGAGCAAGGTTCTTCATTGCAACATACATCATTACTTCACATGGTGTTTTGTCACTTCGCAAAGTATGTCATTACTTCATAAGGTGTTTTATCGGGAACAAGTAGGGGCGGCTGACAAGTGGTAGTCAGCGATGGTCGGTAGCTACATATGTAGGAAGTGTTCGTTGGGTCTTCGAATCTGAAATTGCTCTTAGATTATCCTCATTCTCTTTTCAATCTGACTCTCGGTCTAGGTTTCCCTAGCTCTCCCTCCCCTTTCACGAATGGAGTGGGCATCTATTTATAGATTCTTGGAGTGTCATGCTCCATAAATAATGCAAAAATCACACATTGTGGGTGACTGAAGGCTCGTAAACTAGCCTATGACCATTCATTATATAT